TCATCATCATCATCATCATCATCATCATCATCATCATCATCATCATCGATCATCATGAATCATCATCCTGTAAAGTTTCAATTCGTTTGTTCAGTTGGGTAAATAAGATTGATGAAGGTTGATAGCATCGTGACAAGATTGAGTAAGGGATCAAACAGTGATATGTTTTTGCTTTCGTCGCGGCTTCCCTTTTTTGTTTTCTTATAGATTGAGTAAGGGATCAAACAGTGATATGTTCTTGCAATCGACGTGGCTTCCCTTTCTTGTTTGCTTGTAGAATCTTATAGGGAAACTGCTGAAGTTCGTGAACCCCATGTGACCGACAAAATCACCAGCTGACAAAGCCCAGGAAAGCGGCTTACAAGGAGCGGTGTGCCGGGAAGGATGGTTCTGACACGCTACATCTAGACTCTATATAACGAGTCTAGGAGCACAACTCTAATTGATTCGATTGAAGATGACGAGGATCAGAATATGTATGAGTGTTTCTGAGTCAGGATCAATATGTTTGAGGGCCTTCAATTTCCCAACAAGGTGTCCATCCAGAGCTACCATTTGTCACCCTCGCAAGCCTTCGCTGCCCGGGCCAGCCAAGTTTGACCGGAGCTCATAATCCAGCATCCAGGAAGAAGGCCTTTGGCTCCAGGGTACCGCGAGACTGTTTGCTGTCAGCTTGATGCAAACCATAAGCCATAAACCTTACCATGGGAGCACATTGAGCACACCCATTCTATAGATATATATAGATATTATACACTATATAGAGTTGTGAAGTCGGGTTTTAGCCAACCATTGGAAATCATGATTTATTTATTTAGCAAAAATGTTGCAGATTTATTTAGAGAGGGGGCAAGCACCTGGGAATCTATAGTGCTTCACATTAGTGAAATAGATTAGGGTGGGGAAAGCAGTCTGAGACAAGTCCTGAGATATCCTGAGATGCCAGAGAGAGAGAGAGAGGGAGAGAGAGCGAGGGAGCGGGGAGCCCTGAGACAGTTGCGACAGTCACTAAGTCGTTTAATTGAACGATGGTTTCTTTGCATGGCCCTGATGTATCCCAGCTTCCTGTCTCTCGGTGGCCCTATAAGTCCTCGGTCCTAGGTCCTAGCTAGTAAGTAGCTAGCAGCTAACTAGCTTATAGGCCCGCTCTAACTATTTGCAGTTTCCCTGCCCTGCTCTATGTCTCTCACTATTGTGTTCCACTAATATTTCCCACCTGCTAATGGATTTGCTATTTTTTTTGGCTATTTCCTCGAAAAATAGCAAAAAACTGCCATATCATAACATCCAAAATAGAGAAAACAAATAGCGACTCTGAAACCCTCACACAATAGAATAGAAGAGGAATAGGCTGGCAGCGGAGTGTGACCAGTGACTACAGTGTAGACGTCCTCGAACCCAGACTTGGAAATGACAGTGAGTCTAGAGTCTAGTGACTAGTTCAAACATCTTCAGCAAACATCTTCAGCACAAACTCTCAGTTCAAACATCTTCAGCACACATATGACCTCTCTTTTTAGGTTTACTAAACTTTTGATGGTGCTATTTCTCTCTCTAATTAGGTTTACTAAACTTTTGATGGTGCTATTTCTCTCTCTAATTAGGTTTACTAAACTTTTGATGGTGCTGTTTCTCTCTCTAATTCACTTAGCAGTTATTTTGCTAAAATAATCTTTTCATGTCTACCAGTGGTTCCCTGAGCACAGCTTCACAAATATA